GTGATAATTTTTTTTTTTTTGCGATCATCTCCCAACAATAAACACAACTTGCCCTGGGAGATCGGGCGATGGTTAACAACGAGCACTGCTATCTATTATTTTTTTGATTTATTGATTAATAATTTGACAGCGGAAGGTTCCTTAAACAGAATTTTTTATGAAATTAAGCCAGGGGAAACTTAAACGTTTCCGCTTGAGTAGTTCTGGGTAGAGCTTATTGAGAGATTTACATTTGTTTTTTATCTGGGTTGCAAAATGTTTATGTATTATTTTTTTTTTACAATTTTGATATAATTACTGCTTTAAGTGCGTTGCTCTGTCAGCTAAAGGCATGTTTTACAGTCTTTATATTCCATTTAAGATTAACCGATTATTAAATTAGTTGACGATTAGTTCAATAATCGATTAACCACGATTAATCCGATTGTTTCAGTCTACTTCAATTATCTTCTCTGGGAGGCTACGTGGGCACAGGCTGTGTCTGTGGTGTTTGTTATCAACAGAGTACCCAACCGAGTTGCCAAAGTATTGCAGCTCCTTCTGTTTGAATTGAATCAGCTGTGCCCTGAATTAGGGGTGGGCGATATATTGAATATACTCAATGTAATTCCAGTTTTGTCAGGCACGATAGTTAAAACCACTCTATTCCAACCATCGAGTACCAAATGCACGACAACATTAAGCCTTCTGCATCTATTTCACAGAGAGTTTTAGTTTTCCCACACACTTTGAATGCATCATAAACCCCTCCCCCAAACCGGTTATTTTCATCGCAGCATGCACAATACAGCAACCGGCAAAAGAAAAGTGTTTCAGCTACAATATATGGCCGTGGATTTCGAGGTGACACGGTGACAACGTCAAACAAAAGGCGCTAATTCGTAAGAAGTGCCACAAAACCATTACTGCAAAAGATAGCAGTACAAATTTATTCTAACACTTAAAAGGTCAGCCACTGCAAAATGAAGAATGTTGTAAACACCACATGTCCACATCTCCCCGCACACTAAAACAGATGCTATTTATGACGTTATTTAAATGATTTTGGATTTTTTAACTCCTGCTATGTGATGTGGTCTTGTTTAGATGTTTTGCAGTCGTTTACTAAACTTGGCAATGTTCACAATTCTACAATTTTTTGTTCTTTAAAATACTCAGTATGTAAAGATAATCCAAATAGTTTAGAGATGCTCTAATAATGCTTTCATTTTTGGAACATATTTCGACTTTTGTTTTTGTAATTTGAGGCCATTTTCGTTTTTCATTCTACTTTTTTTATTGTGCACAAAACAGCTCTTTTTCTTTAGCGTTTTATTTAGTGTTTGTTTTTGGTTTCGTTGCTTGGATCTTGTTAAAGGTCTAACACTGACACCCAAAGACATAATGTGGCAGTATAATTTGTGAAAACTTTTAGCTGGTTAAAATACAATGTTATAAATTTGAAATTTTAAAGACTATATCAGTGCAATTTTATGCAATCTATTGTTTTTGAAGTTGATTTAAACAGATCATGATGTATATCATGTATCGTGATTATAGCCCAAATATGATATTAGATCTTCTTCATGCTCCCACCCTATGCTGAATATTAGTCAGTGACAATTCAAGAAATACCCAAAAGCAACAAATCAATATTGATGAACAGAAAAATATTAGCTGTTGTTCAGCACTAGCACAAATGTTCTTTGAATTTTCCAGCTTATTTCAATGGTTGGATTAATGTTAATCTCATAACTAACTTCTACTAATTATTGAATCATTAAATCTTTTTTTTATTGATCCATGTATATTTTATTAATTGAAATAACAACATAGCATATTTGTATTTTTTAAAAATTAGTTACCCTGATAATTGGCTTCATACTCATTCAAAATAATACATTTTTAGTCAAAATGTAGTGACACCATTCATGCTACTAATTTAATTGCTCTGGAGCTGTGCACTATTTATTTATTTTTTGTTCTTTGCTAGAAAAGCCACCTGCGTATCTGTCATATCAGTCTTTTTAGGGGGTATGTAGTTATGTTAACATTAAGTGAAAGACATTTATTTTCATTTTAAAATTCTTAACACTAATTAAAACTGACATAGCTGTATACAATGTATAAAATGCACATCCTTCCCTATCTATTTGATTAACAAAAAGGAGAATTAAACATAAATTATACTTTCTAGAATAATTATATACTATATCAATATATTGTTGTGGAGAAAAAAAATAAGCACTCTCAAATTATAAGGGACACAAATTGCCACAACCAATACGCGACCATAAAAGCATAAAAAATATTTATAATATAATTTATTTTATAATTCCTCATGAGTTTTTACAAATTGTTCCTCACTAAATTTAACAGAAAATTTTAATAAATACCGCACTGCTATATCTAATATCCTATTTAAATTATATAATTTTATGTTGGCATTGTAAGAAAATTGAGAGCACAGTAATCTATAATTTATGATCTCATCTAGCCTTGTGACATCAGTTCAGCATAGTCTCTGTATGTGATAGACCATCACTGTGTGAATAATTCAGACACCATGAGTGATAAATGTCTCAATAGACATTTTGTAAGATCTTTGATTTTTTAATGGCAGCTAAACTTTCACTATTATTTATCTTTTTTTTTTTTGTGTCACACATGGACACATAAAAGAGATCTTTCCTAATGAGATATTCTCATTAGCACCGGGCCAGTGGTAAAACACAGATACTCTGCACGCTCTTCAAACTTCATTGAGGCTAAAGGCTGTAGAATAGGCTGCAGCATATTTCTCCTCCCTCATTCTATTCCTTCTTAATGACTCTGTGGTTTGATTGCCTCTCATTTGCAGAGTTAATAGAAGGATGGGATTTATATCCTCTCAGCATGCATGAGATTTGGCGTCCATCCTATTCTCCATTTTCCCCTTTTCTGCATCATACCCGAGACTCTGCAAGTGTAAAATATCAGGCACCCCACTGGTTGACTGCGGCTGACCCTACTTTTAGAAATGAGGACAAAGGTGTGCAGTGAAGCACCTACAATAAATAGAATGTGACTGATAGCAGCGACCGTCACACTTTGTGCACTGACAGTAAGGACGACTGTCAGAGAGGAAATAAGGGGAAGTTCTGAAGAGGAAGGTAGAGCTATCTGATGTAGAAAAGGTGCACTATTAAAACCATCACTGGTCATCTCTGTGATAGTTTTATTCTAAAGATGTGCTTTATGGGAAGCTTTAGCAAATACTTCAAGGACTATACAAAATCGCCATGCTTTTGTCCTAAATGCCCAAGTTATTTAAATACACTTTTGAATAGATTTTTACACTTCCATGCTTATTATGACTCTCACTTATATTGATGCTGGCTAACTTTCAGTCTTCCTTTCTCAGTACTAAAGTCAACAGAAGGAGTTCTGCTTGCCTTTTAGTCCTTAGTTATGTGGTCTTTATTGATCAGAAAAAGAGTTTCTAAAAAAGAAAGAACCATCTGATTTTATTGCATAAAATGTTTGATATGAGGTTTTGGAAGGATTTAAAATAGAGCTTTCCTAGAATAGAAAAAGCACAACAAACATTTGGACATGCTTTTGGGAACATGTTTGGACTTTAGGAGGGAAGAAGCAACATACTGAGTCGTCACAATGAATAAAGTATGCAGGCTTGGACAGAGTTTCTGGAGCTGCTGATAACAACAGGGCTGTGAGTCCATTAAAAGACAACTGGTCTTTAAAACTAAGTTTACATAATTAGTTGATTAGAATTTTAAAACTTCTTCAATCTATTTAGTAAGAAGTAAGATTAGTGGAAATTTGTTTTGTAATTTTAACCTATTAAATTACGTATTTATTTTTTTAAACTTTTATTGCAGTGTAAACTCCTTGTCTTGAATAGGCCATCTTTCCTAATATTGTATCGGAGTTTAATTTCTACTTCTGTTGCCATTAGACTGGTCTTGTTACTCACCAGTAAAAAGTACTTAGATTTGTCTGCATTCTGTTCTTCTGAATTTCTACACATCTACTTGATTAACACGGCATCTTTCATCCCCTTCTAGGTCGAGCAAAACCAAGAATCTTTGCTCAAAATGTTTTGCAGGTAAGTTATTCTCATATGTTCACATCTGCTCTGATTTGTCATATCTCTTACTGTCTTAAATGAGGAGTACAATAACTTGAGTTGATGATAATCTTTAGCAACTTAATACAACTGAGGGTGATAAACAGCTCTGATTGAAGGAAAACAACTGATTCAAAATGCTGTATTAACAATGTGTCTCAAAGCACTAAACTGCATTACAAATCGTTTTTAAATTTAAACTCCTTCACAATTGTTATTAGAATGCAGATAATTAGTAATAAATTCAGTACAATTTACTATAATGCAAAAGGCTTGCACAGCCACAATGTTAAATGGTAACTCAAGATGTCATCTGACTCTTGTTTTTGTGTGTAATGGTTGACTTCGTCTGAATGTATTGTAAGCCCAGTCTTCTAAGGAATGGCAGTGCTTTCCACAGAGATTTCAAGACTAACAAGAAAGACATTTTTTTTTACCTATTGCTAAAACTTGGCAATTGTTTTGTGTGTTCATTAAATTTGTGTCTCTTGGGGTGAAATATCTCCAAAATAGTTTAGCATTCATCTCACTCACGTTATAATCACTTTTTCCCACATGCCAGAAAGTCTTGGCATAAAATCTGTTCAAATCTGTTCTTCATCCAAAGATGCATCGCTGTGCCACACACACATGTTTTAAACCTTGCCCTGTTAGCTTTCAGCTGTTTCCAAAACATGAAAGTTGTCTTGGAAAATGCAGACTAAGGCAGAAGAAAACCCATCTCACCCTGCCAATTTCTTCTTAGACACTGAGAAGAAACAGTCGAACGATGATTGTGCCCCAAAGACCTCTTCAAGCACCACCACCAGCAGTCAGACAGACATCTTCTGTAGTGAAACAAACAGCATTAGTCAGTCCCTGATGTCGAGATCCAGCAATTCAGAAGAACCTTTGCCAGGAGAGACTGGAGTGACATCTGTTCATATTCAGAATGGTAAGAGCGCATGATTTCTTTTGCATTCTTTTTAAATTGTGCTTTAAAATAAAATGTTTTTGTGTTTTTTTTCGACGGCATTCTTGTTATATTTGTAGTCATGAGTTAAGTAGCACGCTGTCAATACCAGTAGTGTTCCAAGTGACTCAGCTATGCAGTTTTATGATCTTGCATGTGTTCAATTAAAAACAAAATCCTCAATAATAAAGTCTCTTAAAGGAGAATTCCGTTTTTTAACACTTTTAGCCCATTTTCTGTAGTGTCCAGGATGAAATCGAATGATCGACACCAAAATTTTGACAATTG